GTTGCAACATAAAATATTAGGAGCTTGGGTTAGGTTCTTAGGTTCCTATTGTTTTTCTGAAATTTGAAACAATAAAGTATCATAATTTTTTTTTAATTATCTAGACTTCTGTTCTTTTGAAAATTTGGAGATAAGTCTTAGCTGGATGATGATCGATCATTTAAATTCTGCTGAATATGTTTGTTAGCACTTACCCTTATTCTGTATTGATGGTACAAGTTCCAAGAACTATCATAATTTTATAGTTTACACTTAGAATACGTAACTACCAATGAAATTTTTTGGTTTAAGTTATAAAATTTAAGGAGCATCAATAAGTTTAATATAGTTAATAGAGAAGAGTACATCTTTAATTAATTTAACATAGTCAAAACAAGAACTAAAACTACTTAATTAAAAGAGCATTTCTACGTCTACGGTGCAACAACTACCCATGCACAGCCACAGTTTACATTAGATAGAAAAAGATTGATACGAAGTGTTGTGCTTTGTGAAAGAGTAATATTACTGATATATAAGAAATAAACAGAGTATATGATTATACAAAATAAAAGTCTATTTTTAAATATATTAATTGATAAATTTTTTATATTTTAATTTTTTAGGAGTCTATTAGTGAGAATCATATTTCATGAAAATTAACATATTTATTGAACAATTAACATTATAAGTTGTGTTTAATTATTGTTGAAAAAAATTATTTTTTTGACTTTTAAATAGCATCATTAAATATAATCACCACTTACATCATTTAATTTTATAGATATTTTTAAAATAAAATTTTAAATTATAACATTAAAAATTATAATTGACTAATTTAATTATTTTCATTAGTCTTGGTGAATTAGGTATATATTTATTTGTATATATAAGAATGGAGCTAGTACAACATTAAGAAAATAAAATTCAGTCATTCAAGTAAAATCCTTTAAGATTAATTTAGATATAATTCTTAATTAAATAAATATAAAATGATTAAAATTACTCATCCAAAATATATAACTATTAGTGACAAGAGTTATTCATCTACAGCGGAACTGTGTGCAGGTCCAACGAAAGAGACATATATCAGACTTTATCATAAGTGAAAATAATTTTTATTTTTTGTACAATGACAAATACGTCAATGATCATGATGTGAAACAGTTCCATCCAAATTGTCAATGTCGAATAGGAAAATCAACAATGTTTTTAATTTTTTTTTAATAATACTAATCTTATTTTTCTTTTTTAAATATATGTATATAAAAATGTAAAGGCAAGAAATAAAAATAATTATATAATATCAAATATGATTTGAATTAATTAGCGTAATTAACTATTAAATAATGAAACTTTAGCTAGGTCAAATTATTCTATCATGTCAAATTATTAAATAATAGGGATTAGAATATGGTATTGTTATTGTAATTATGTTGAATAATAATATATATAAAAAATTCTGTAATGTCAAACAAATTGACTTTTGCATACAATTTTCCACTCTGATTTATATGGTATTTGAAATCACATGAGATATTCATTTTATTTTTTGACAGATAAAATTATTAATATTAGGATAAAAGTGTGTGGGACATAGAAGACAACTACCAGTCATAAGTCATAACGTAAGTATAGGAATGGGTTTGGTAATGAATTATTTCATTCATAGGGCACTGTCCCACGCGTGCACTTCCCAACTAACGTTCCAACTTTTCAATGCCTCTCAACTAACTATCAAACCCTAATGCTATACAATACAACGTCAAACCCTAATTTTGAATATACACATTCACGACATTGTCATTCCTCTTTCTTATCTATTTTTCTTTAATTAATTTGTAACCTAATAATACTAGTAAGATATTTATTACCCCTGCCTAATTCCTTTCACCGATCGACTAAACACATAGCCTATAGTTCTATACAAATTATGTTCGCTTTAACTTGATTGTTAACTCAATCATAACAAACGTTGAAAGCGTATATGTGAAAATTTTAAATATAAATATTAAATAAAAAGTTATAAAGTCAAATTCTTAACATATAATATATATTTCTTTTTAAGTATTATTTATATGAATGAAATCAAGTTCAAATTCTTTAAATAATATTTCATATTAATAATATAGTGATTCAAAATGTGATTTTTTTTATATTAAATGTGTAATAATATTTGGTATCAATATGGTTTTATGAGTTTTGATAATGAGGAGTTTTAAGATTAGTGTTGAAATAAAATATTTAACAAACATGACATTATTGCAGGTGTGGAAACATTATTTTGGGTTAATTGCAGTCCAAGATGTTGCCTATGGAATCTAGGAACCACTTCTTAATTACAACACAATTATTGTGGTTTGAATGGAAAAAAAAAAAAAAAAAAAAAAAAAA